TGGGTTAAGCTTACTGCAAAAGCCACGAACATTCTGATAGATTATCTTTAGAGAAAGGGTAGAAATTAGTTTCAATATTATTATTACCTTAGTCGAAGGTATCACCTTATTATTACTGTTGGAATTAATACGAAAACTATTCTAAGTCACTGTAAATATCGGCTGATGCAATCGGAAGCCCTTCTTTGTAATTCCATGCAAAAAACACAACAGAAGAATGTGTGTATGCGTGGTAGGGAGACAAGGAGATGCCGATAATACACACATGCATGTATACATGTACGTTGACCGGCGGCTTGTGCCGTTCACTTCACTTCTTTTATTCCTTTTTGTAAAAAGTTTGTGACAAGTCGATGCAGTAAAACTGAACAATAAAATGAATTTATAAAAGATAAAACGGTCGTATTTTCTAATAATTACCATACTCCGACTCGTAGGACCACAATGTTTTGTAGGAGGGTAGATTTCTGCCGTGAAGAGATGAGCACCTCCAAGTAGTATTCGAAAATTGTGAGTGTTTCGTTGTAACTAAACTAAGGCCGTGTGGATCGTGAGAGCGAGCGAGCTCTCAGAGCTCTGTCAGAGAGCACTAGCAGGGAGCGGCTACAGGCTGCTAGCAGAGAGCGGAAACAGACTGTTGCTCTGTGTTGTTAACAGCGCTGCCGCTCCGCTAGCTCTGCTGGTCTGAACATACTTACCACATAATGGTAAATAAATAAATTAACTGTTAGGCTATATTTAATTTCTTTATTTGAATTCATTTAAGCTTTTATAAGAAACATACATAAGTTATTTATTTATTCAGATCCCTCGTCGTCAAGTCCAGAATATTTGTTGGAAGATTGCAAAACCTACAATAAATTAATCTCATTAATCGCATATAAGAAATTTATGTTTTTTATTTAATAAGTTGATGGGACAAAGGGTAACAGTAAACCTATAGAATGACTATTGGATTTTCAAGTCAAGTTGTTTACCTAGGAAATAAACTTGACTCAAAAAACACCTACCAACGGCCACGAACAAAGACCAAATATCTTTATAATCGGGAATCGTAATAATGTCTGGTAGGGATTTTTATACCCGTACTCAAAAAAGAGTTAAGGGGTATATTAGATTTGTGGTAAAAGTGAATGTGTGTAACGCAGAGAAGGAAACGTTTCCGACCCCATAAAGTATATATATTCTTGATCAGCATCAATAGCCGAGTCGATAGAGCCATGTCCGTCTGTCCGTCTGTCCGTCCGTCCGTCCGTCCGTCTGACCGTCTTGATGAGCGCCTAGATCTCAGAGACTATAAGAGCTAGAGCAACCAAATTTTGTTTCCAGACTCATGTGATATCACACTGCTACAAGTGTATTTCAAAATTTCGCCCCGCCCCCTTCCGCCCCCATAAAGGACGAAAATCTGTGGCAGGCACAATTTTAAAGATACGATAAAACTAAAAACGCAGTATCGTAGAAAATGACCATATCTACCAGATTGCCGAATCTGAATCAGATCGGATCATAATTATAGCCAGAATGAAGAAATGAATTTTCTGTTAGTTCCCTCTCCTTCTCCAACGCTGCTGACGCTACTGATTCTCTTTCTCGCTCGCACACTCTGCCGCGTTCAGTGCGCGAGCAACCCCTAGCGGAGGAGATGTAGAATATAAATGGTACATGTACAATCTACATTTTAGATGTGGAATATACATTGTAGATGTAGATGTAGATAACAGATGTAGCAAAAAAATGTAAAAGGTTTTTTTTTTAATTATAAAAAATCATTAGCTCAAAAATGTATATACAGACTGAGTACGGGTATAAGTAGAGTCGCGTCCCCAGAAGCGACTCACACGTTCCTTCTCGTTATTTATGTGGACCAGTTTAAAAAAACGAGTGGGAGCGGTTGGAGCCGCGGTCAGTATCCATACATATATGTGAGCTTATGATTTATGTAACTTACACTATATATTTTAGCGTGAGCTCCAGAGCTTCTCTCTTTCTCTTTCCATGCTTGTAAAAGCGAATTTACTTGTTGGTTACTACGGGAAGGTTTCCGTTAACTTTCTTAATTGTACTAGCACACTGTCATAAGATATGGGATAATCATAGAGGTAAGGAGCTTGCACTTTGTTTATCCCCTCTCCAACTATTGACAATTTCTTTTTAATTTTTTTGATAGGCAATTAGTGCACCATCAACTGGCCCATGCGACACCAAGCCGAAGCCTGTTACGGAATAAAGGAATAATGTTTCTAGTGGATCTAATAGGAATCGTAAAGTTTATGCGTTGCATAAAGTTCCAATAACACTACTCGACAAAATTGAACTTTTTCTTCCCGCTGTGGACCAAAATGACTTTTTCTGATAGATTTCGGGACTTACAAATTTTTATAGTACTGTTTTTTTATGGTTTAGATTTTTTAATAATTTTAAAAAATCTGGTATGTTTATCATGTTCTTTAAGAGGTAGTGCTTCTATTTTTCACATAACTTAGGTATATCTTATATCTGGTTGCATAGAACTTTGCAGTTCTGAAAAGCTGACAAATTCAGCTATAAATCCGACCCAGACTATTTGTAGCTGCAGCTTTACGCCTGGAAGATATTAAGCTTTCAAATTCGAATTTCATCATTTCTTGCGATAAAAAAATGATTTGCCAAGAAATATTTTTTTTCTACTTTTCCTGAGTTTTAAAAGTCAAAATTTCGCGAAGAAAAACCACAAAAAAATGATGAAAATTTAATTTAAAAGCTTAATATCTTCCAGGCGTTAAGCTGCAACTTGTCTCGGATCGGGTCGGATTTATAGCTGCATTTGTCAGCTTTTCAGAACTGCTTTTCAGTTCTATGCAACCAGATATAAGATACTTAAGTTATGTGAAAAATAGAAGCACTACCTCTGAAAAAAAATAGCAGATTTTTTTAAATTCTTAAAAAAAACTAAACCATAAAAAAAACATAATTCGTTAAAAAAAAATTGAAATCCAGAAATCTATCAGAAAAAGTAATTTTGGGCCACAGCGTAAATGTAGTGTTGACTAGTGTAATCGACAGCAGAAAACAAAACACACGATAATGACGGGTCCTATTTCAGCATGCATAGCAACAAAAATGAGCTTTCTTGATAATGCGTAGACGCGGTAATGTCTCTGAGCAAGCCTCGAAAATTTATTCGCTCATAATGCGTAAGTTTTTTGGTGTGGGCTTCAAGAAAACTTTTATTATTAAAGTAATTTCAGATGTTCAATATGGCAAAAAAGGAATGGAGCTCCAGGGTCCGGAAAAAAATTTCCATTATAGCAGTCTCAAGATAGAAACACAGTAGAGCGAGTAAAACCGCATTTTGCGCTTGTCAAAAATATACAATGTTATCGAAAAAACTGTGAAAAAGTAAGTAAAAGACACAAAAAGTATGGGACTGATAAAATTTAAAAAAACGAGAAGGAACGTTTGAGGCGCTTCTGGGGACGCGTACTCATTCAGTATATCCATTTTTGAGCATATGATTTTTTAGAATTTTAGAATTAAACGAGAAGAAACGTGTGAGTCTCTTTTGGGGACGCGACTCTACTTATACCCGTACTCAGTCAGTATATACATTTTTGAGCATATGATTTTTTAGAATTTTAAAATTAAAAAAAAAATTAACATTTTACACTTTTTTGGTACATCTGTTATCTACATCTCCATCTACTATGTATATTATACATCTAAAATGTAGATTATTTATAATCTACATCTCCTCCGCTAGGGGTTGCTCGCGTACTAAACGAGGCAGAGTGTGCGAGCGAGAAAGAGAATCAGTAGCGCCAGCAGCGCTGGAGAAGGAGGGGGAAACAACATTCTTCATTCTTCTTCATTCTGGCTATAATTATGATCCGATCTGATTCAGATTCGGCAATCTGGTAGATATGGGCATTCTCTACGATACTGTAGATTCGTCCTTTGTGGGGGCGGAAGAAGGCGGTGCGAAATTTTTAAATACACTTGTAGCATATCACACGAGTCTGGAAACCAAATTTGGTTGCCCTAGCTCTCATAGTCTCTGAGATCTAGGCGCTCATCGAGACGGCCAGACGGACGGACAGACAGACAGACGGACGGACGGACGGACAGACAGACATGGCTCTATCGTCTCAGCATCAAGAATGCTGATCAAGAATATATATACTCTATGGGGACGGAAACGTTTCCTTCTTTGCGTTACACACATCCACTTTTACCACAAATCTAATATACCCATTAACTCTTTATGAGTACGGGTATAAAAACCCGTTCCTAAACTGACAGAATTACAGAGAAAAACAATCAAACTTCGGCTGCATTCGCTTTCTAGAAACTTTTTTTCTGCAAGCTGTTGAATGATGAGACTATTTCACAGTGGAGGGTCATGAATGGACTCCAATATATTTCTTAAAGCTTCCTAATAAAATTACATAAACAAAGTTTCCTAAACATGAATGAAATGAATATTTTTTGTAAAAATAGCTTATGGTCTAATAAAAAATAACATGACAAATACAATTTGGTCTGACTTGCAATACATTTTTTATTAGTATTAAAACAGTTTTTCGTATTTCATTCCGCATGCCTTACTGGAAGACACATTATTTTCTTAATCCTGACCCGTCTTCATGTCAAATGACTGATTCGTCAGGGCAAGAAAGATCCCTTCAATCCTTCTACCGAGCTTACAATAAATACGACGAACAGTTCGCACATATCTTAGGCAGCATAACCTAAAAGCCTGCAGCCCAAGAAATGTATCACGAAACTTGGACATCCCAAAATGCACAGTGGTCGAGCTTGTATGGAGCGAGCGCTCAAAAATACTTTTAGTAGAGATATTTTTGTGAAATTTTTCTAAAATTCTATAATAACTAATTAAACAAACATAAATCGGTCGTACCTAAGCGCCTCCCGAAATACCACCAACCGCCCACATGCACATAGTATGTATGATGTATGTAGTTAAGAATTTTTATTTTAGTAAGGTATTATGCAGCATGGTATTTTTATATATTTAATTGCAAGAGATCGGAAAAAGTTTTATTTAATACTGTCTTTGGCTTCTGTGGAACATGTGGCTGTCTTCCAAATTACTGTTCTCTATTATTTTTCGTATTCGCTGTACCCAGAACATCCGTCGAAGCCTAATTTTCCTATAAGTTTGAGGTTGTTCATAGTTTCACTGAAAACATCATTTATAACATTATCATGCAACCTGAACGGTTTGGAGGGCGGTCCAATAAACTTTGAAGCTCGACTTCAGCATGTGATTCGCTAACATTTATATTTTCCGGATACCATTTTTTTTTTTTTTATTCTAGAACATTATCATAGCCAAACAGTTCAGTGCTTCGTTAAATTCGTTCCCATCATAAGCGCAATAGTGCTTGCAGGCGAGATTTTTTTGCAATTGGCTTGTTCAGTAGCAAAACGCAAGCAATCAGCAGCAGACTCATCCGGTTCGGCTATCTCTGCTATTCGTCGTCTTTTTGTTCGTCTTGAGGATTGAGAGAAATTAGTTTTGAGACGACCACGCTCAATACTATTTTCAGGTGTTTTTACATCGCAGTCATTTTTCGCAAGCCAATCAGAATACGTTTCAGAACACCGCTTATCAAATATACACATACGGCTGAATTCGAATTCATAAGCTCCTATACGAAAATAAAAAATAATATAAATTAAACTAGGAACATATCATAACAAAACAAAGTGCTCAAAGAAACAACAACGACAATTATAAGCGAACAAAACAAAAAGCATCCACATAAGAGACGAAAAGGTGAATGACGCTGTGTTCTCTTCAAGATAACGAATCGTCTGGAAAAATCCGGCAGTATTTTTTGTCTATTTTTTCACTTTTGAGGTTTGGTTAACGAATCATAGCTCCACCGTTTCTACATAGATTTTAATGAACAATACCTTAAACGACGACTAATTAATCCGTCTATCTAAAACCAAGAATAATTTTTTTTCGACTTTTCCCGAGTTTTTAAAGTAAAAATTTGGGAAAAAAAAATACCGAAAAAAATTATGAAATTTGAATTCGAAAGCTTAATTTCTTCCAGGCGTTAAGCTTCAGATACAAAGTTTCTGGGTACGATTTATAGCTGCATTTGTCAGCTTTTAAGAACTACACAGTTCTATGCAACCAGTAATAAGCTACTTAAGTTATGTGAAAAAAAGAAGCACTACCTCTGAAAAAAAATAAAAAATTCTTTAAAAAAAACTACATCATACAAAAAAAACCAAAATTCGTTATCAATTTTTAAACCCCGAAATCTATAAGAATTTAAATTTTGGGCTACAGCCTAATTCTAGTGTTGACTAGTGAAATTGATAAAAACAAACTCAGCGAAAATGATTGTTAGCGAATAAAAAGAAAATTAAGTAATTTTGCCTCTGAGTAAAGTGTACAGCAGAAATTTAAAATACTTCAAAAAACAGACCAAAAATTTTAATTTTGACCTATACCTTTTTTGTATTAATATAAAGTGTTTATAAAAACATTTTATAATATTTTGAAATACAAAAAAAAAAACATTTTTAAAAAAAAATTTTTTTTTTAAGTTTTTAAGTTAAAAAATAAAAATTAAAAATTTATTTAAATACACACGCGGATTTATATTCCAAAATACAAAAATATTTTTAAAAATGTTACTCATTTATTTTTTGAGTTATTAATTATTGCCTGCTAGATTGGCAGAATCGACCACTGTGCGGTGGCCTCAGCTAGGCCCCCTCTGAGCCACCTCAAAGCCCAATAGGATCATCGGACAATGGTCATTAACGATATATAAGTTTGCCAAAATAAAGCATTTTAATTTTCAAAGATTGAGATCATTTTTATGCATAGCTCGCAAATAGCTATTTTTTCCATTGCTGTCTGGTCTCTGAAAAAACAGAAAAAAACACCACGGACACTTGCTCCCGCTCTGAGAAGAACACTTTTGGTCTCTTCGCTAGTGTTATCTTTTTCGTGTTTTCGGGTTGAGCCGAGACACGCTCGTGTCTCACAATAACAACTTAAAGAGGAACATATTATTGTGTAGGATATGTATGTAGAATATAGGTAAATTTTGTATTAAACAGAGTTAAGCTTAACCACTAACAAGGCATTCAGATATTCCGCAGTTAGAGAGCAAAAGACACTTTTTCGTCCGCTCGTTGCGTCATTGCTCAGAGAAAAACAGTAACAAAATAGAATTGCAAAATCGGGTCTTTGCTTGAGCGAAGAGCGAAATGAGTAAAGACAGATCTGATCGTGTCTTTTCTGGCTACATTCGTAAATGTGTCCGTAAATGAGACGTTTTTTTCAGACACCCTGAAAGTGTTGACCGTTTTTTGCGAGCTATGCATTTAAATCAAGGCTGCTTATGAAAACCACGAAAACGACGTAGCTTTTTCAAGTTTGACGATGCCATGATCTGTTTTGTCTGTTCTAATATTATTCAATGCTATATCTGAACTTCAATTTGGTGCATGTGAGATCCTTTGTATCTCCGGACTTGTATGAAATAAAAACATTGTTACATTAGTACGGAAAGCAAGTTGTGGCCTCCTACTTAATTTATTTTGGATTTATCCGGTTCTTGGCCAGAACAAATTGGAGCTTCGATGAGTTAACCATAGCGGCGTCCAGGGCATTTGTTAACAACGGCCAATACCACTTTTTCCTTCGTACTCTAATACAATAATTATTTGTGCCATTGTCAAATAGATCGCTTATTACACTACTCGACAAAATCAAACTTTTTTTTTCCTCAAGGATCCAAACCGACTTTTTCTGATAGATATGGGGATTTAAAATTTTGTAAAGAATTATGGTTTTTTTTCTATGGCAGAAATTTTTTGAAAAATTTTTGAAGTCTGGTATTTTTTTTAAAGCTTTTTTCAGAGGTAGCGCTTGTTTTTTCACATAGCTCTAGTATCTTACGTCTGGTTGTAAAGAACTTTGCTATTTTGAAAAGATAATTAAAACAGCTAGAAGTTAAGCCCAAACACTTTGTGATTACAGCTTACCGTCTGGGAAATATAAAGCATTGAAATGCAAAAATGATGATTTTTGTGCGGTATTTTTTACGAAATTTTGACTTTAAAAACTCAGGAAAAGTCGAAAAAATACCTTTTGGAAGGTTGCGAGCTCAACTGCCCATTGGGAATTGGGATCGCGATCAGGTACCAAATGTACAACCCTTTTTCGTTTGCTTTGTTCCCAAACGGGCCCAACTGCCACGCAACCATCAAAAAGGTATTTTTGTTCAATTTTTCCATATTTTAGGTTTAGTTAACGAATTTTAGCTCCAAAGTCTCTCCATAGATTTTAATGAGCGATACCTTGAACGACGCCAAATTAATGCACCTATACATAAAAAAATAGAGGACACAGGACTAAGTTTTTAAAGTCAAAATTTCGTAAAAAATACCGCACAAAAATCATCATTTTTGCATTTCAATGCTTTATATTTCCCAGACGGTAAGCTGTAATCACAAAGTGTTTGGGCTTAACTTCTAGCTGTTTTAATTATCTTTTTAAAATAGCAAAGTTCTTTACAACTAGACGTAAGATTCTAGAGCTATGTGAAAAAAACAAGCGCTACCTCTGGAAAAAGCTTAAAAAAAAAATTAAAGTTTTCAAAAATTCTTCAAAAAAAAGTTCTGCCATAGAAAAAAAAAAAATTATCATCAAACCATTTCTATGCCCCAAATCTTTAAGAAAAAGTTCGTTTTGTTCCTTGAGGAAAAATCGTGTTGACTAGTGTTATAAGCGTGCAGAATCTGTGGCATTTGAATATACTGCATTTTCCGTGACTTCCGATCCCATCGCTTTGCACGGTTCATAGGCTCGATTCCTTCATGGTTCGATACAATTGTAACCACGGAGTTATCGTTCCACCGGGCGATCAAAAATTCATTTGCCTTGTCGAATATATAATCCAGCCCCCCACATGCAAACATCTTTGTGTATATGCGATCTGTCCAGCAAAAACCAGTTTTGTCTCTTCTCTGATTGTTGTTAACCCGACTTTTGTTATGATTTTGTTGTTGTCTTTTCTTCGAGTTTGCACTGTTCCCTTATTGGTATTTGTGTTTTTGTTTGTGAGTATTGGTGAGTGCTGTGCCGTAAGCTGATTTTGGGCACCCCTGATATAATCCAACGAACCACGCTCCTTTTTTTTTTGTCAACGCTCTAATATCTACAAGTGGAGCGTGCTTGGTTCGGTTGACTCGAACTGAGCCTGTGCAAAAGTAAGTTATTGTGATAGTCGACACATCAATCTATGAGACGTAAAAAAAGTTGTCGAATGCAACGCAATGTTGCAATAATAGGCAATCATTTGTTCGTCAATAGATAAATTATGTCTGAAAACTCCAAACTGCATGAATTTAACATTTATTAAATCGTTCAATGGTGACACTTTAAAGAATTTTTTATTATACCCATACTCTAAAAAGAGTTAAGGGGTATATTGTATTTGTGGTAAAAGTGGATGTGTGCAAAGCGGAGAAGGACACGTTTCCGACCCCATAAAGTTTATATATTTTCGATCAGCATCAATAGCCGAGTCCGTCCGTCCGTCCGGACGGAAGGCACAATTTTAAAGATACGATAAAACTGAAAACGCAGTATCGTAAAGAATGACCATATCTACCAGATTGACGAATCTGAATCAGATCGGATCAAATTTATAGCCAGAATGAAGAAATTAATTTTCAGTTGCTTCCCCCGCCTCCTACAGCAAGAGACACGCTACTCATTCTCTTTCTCGCTCGCACACTGCCGTGTTCAGTGCACGAGCGCCATCTAGCGAAAAAGATGTAGAATCTAAATGGTACATGTATAATCTACATGTAGATGTATAATATACGTAGTAGATGTAGATAACAGATCCAGCAAAAAAATGTAAAATGTAAATTTTTTTTTTAATTTTAAAATTCAAAAAAATATAATCTCAAAAATTTGAATACTGACTGAGTACGGGGTATAAGTAGAGTCGCGTTCCCAGAAGCGACTCACACGTTCCTTCTCATTTTATTGTTTTTTTATATTTTGATATAAAACTTAAAAAGAAAACAATTTTCAATGAAGAACATTTTTAAAATACGAAAGAAAAAATAAAAAAAATTTTTCCCATGACAGTATACTAGGCTATGCCAAAATTTGATTACAAATTATTATTATTTTTTTTTTTTAAGCGGACACCACCTTATTCTGTTCATTGTTAGTAAATAAAATTATAAAATTTTTTCAAATCTTTAGTTTAATGTTTGTGGGTTGCTACTACGAAAAGAAAATACACTCTTTGGGTTAGAAATACATTAAAAAAATTGAATTCGTCGGTTTTTTTCAAATAATATTGAAACTTATAGTCTTTTTACACAGCTGCATCATTGTCTACGGTGCGGAAAATGATGAGATTCGTTTACACCAAAGCCGCATATTTTTTCGCATCATTTTTCAGCTTTGTTGTTATTGTTTGATTCGATAAAAACAGCTGTTTGCTATCGATAACCCATCGATATCCGTCAATACCCCGAATAATTACAAAATTTTGTAAAAATACTAGACAGACATTAAAGATGCGGCCGCATCATTGTCTTCTACAATCCACAGGGCTCTTATCGGCACCATTGTCGCATGTTCCATTTAACAGAAAAATCCAATGATGCGCCTAGTGTAGAAAGGCTATTAGAAACTAGTTCATATTAATCAGGTCTTTTTTTTTAGTTACTGTTAAAAAAGTAACGATATATTTAGTTAATTAGTTCGCAAACACTTGTGCACGATTTTTACTGCCAATAACTGATTAATGACGATTATACAACTCATTCAGCAAAACAATTTTTTTTGGGTTAACTTTTTTTTGCTTAAAATTTGTTTTTAAAATTCGGTACAAGCCTCTATAATAAAAATAAAAACTAATATTACTGTCAAACCCAAGATAACAAAATTAAGGGGTGTCCCGTTTAAATTTCAAAAAAACATTTTCTTGGCTCAACCGATTGTATACAGTGTCGCTCAACTGAATAGGCAAAACAATTTAATAGTAAAACCGCTATAACAAATTATTTATTTTTATGAAATAATATTTATTTAAAAATTCAAGATTGTTAATGAAACAAGAAAGTTTGTGGTCTCCAAAAAACGTACCTATAAGAAACTAGCGGATCCGTCCAACTTTGTCTCGCCCCAATTTAACGGCTTCAGATAATCCTCGTCTAATCGAGCCTCTACTTTTATACCCGGTACTCAGTCAGCTGCAAGAATATTTTACCTGTTTCGACCTCTCTCTCTTTATCTTCTCACACCAACACACCGTATTTCAAAACAAACGTAACAGTGTGATATCACAGATGTCTGGATATATAATTTGGTTTCTCTAGCTCCTATAGTCTCTGAGAACAAGATGCTCATCAATCAAGACGGATAGACAGACATCTCTATATCGACTCGGCTATTGATGCTGATCAAGAATATATATACTTTATGGGGTCGGAAACGTTTCCTTCTCTGAGTAACAGAGAGTACGGTTATAAAAATAAGTTTTCAAAAACTCTTAAAAATAAAAGTTCTGCCATAGAAAAAAACCATAATTCTTATAAAAATTGTAACTGTCGAGTAGTTAGTACAAAGTTAGTGTTAAAAGTGTTTGCCAAAATTGGAAGACAAGGTTAAAGGGATCAAATTAATAATAAAAAGATATAGACCATCGTACATACATAGCACGATTTCAGTTCGAGAATTGGCACAAAAAAAATCCCGAACATGTTTGAGTATGGTTCAAAAAATAAAGCAACGGAGAAGAACCCCACCAACTAGCTGCTTTAAGAATATGATTACACTAGTCAACAAGATTTTTCCTCAAGGAACAAAACGAACTTTTTCTTAAAGATTTGGGGCTTAGAAATGGTTTGATGATATTTTTTTTTTCTATGGCAGAACTTTTTTTTTAAGAATTTTTGAAAAACCTAAAATATGGAAAAAATGAACAAAAAATACCTTTTGGAAGGTTGCGAGCCCAACTGCCCATTGTACGAAATGTACAACCCTTTTTCGTTTGCTTTGTTCCCAATTGTTCTCAAATCACAAAGTGTTTGGGCTCAACTTCTAGCTGTTTTAATTATCTTTTCAAAATAGCCAAGTTCTTTACAGCCAGACGTAAGATACTAGAGTTATGTGAAAAAAACAAGCGCTACCTCTGAAAAAAGCTTTACAAAAAATACCAGACTTCAAAAATTCTTCAAAATAAAGTTCTGCCATAGAAAAAAAAAACCATAATTCTTTAAAAACTTTTAAAGCCCCATATCTATCAAAAAAAGTCGGTTTGGATCCTTGAGGAAAAAAAAAGTTCGATTTTGTCGAGTAGTGTTATTGGCCTTCGCCAATAATATGTAATATGTTATTATTCTGTTTTCTTAAGCTTTTTTCTTTCTTGCCCTGCTAAGCTCGCTCTTCGATATTATGTACGTCTCTACGCTTTTTATCTATGCAGAACAAAACTGCATAGCAATCGGATCGGCAAGCAAGACCACTTGCAATTTGGATGTGATTAAAGAACATATTTGAATTTTACGTCGGCGCCGCGTTATTATTTAGTTGAAATAACTATTCGGCCAATGGGAGATAAAAACCAGTCTGATAAAAAACAGTCTGCGCCGAGAGGATTTTCGTCAAAAACGATAGTGCAAAAGCTTTATGATGAAGTTGAATGCATTGTTATGCACGAAGATTTTATGGACTCGGCTATTGCTGCTGCTCAATAATATCCTTTGTGGGGTCAGAAATACCTATTATTACACATTCACATTTTTTGCAGTGCGCAGACAGCAGGCGAAACGGAACATTGTATTGGGTCCAACTACGTAATACACATGTACAATTGTGTTCAATGAAATAGTAGTGCCGCACCTCATCACTTTCAAAACTCTTTTTGAGACACTTCCAGCTATCCAAATTGAACAAATGATACCTTTTTAAATAGACTGGACTGTTACCATTAGAAAACCGAAGAAATGTCAATTCATTTGAATTCCATTTTCTTGTTTTACATGACATAAGCCGAATACCCATGAAATTTGCTGTTCAATGAAATAGTAGTGTTTTTTTAGAACATTGAAAAAAACAACGAATCTCAAATAAAAACATATATTTCATGTAATTCATGTTTCCTGAGCTTTAATATATAGTTTTTAATCAATTTGGTTTTCATTTCGAACTTGCACCAGCCGGATATGGGTCATTAATCTCTTGCCAACGCTTCAATAGGATTTGAGCCAATAATCCATGAACCACTTGCTAAAACTTGGCTCTGGTACACGGATTTGCAGTTGCAATAATGTATTTGGTATTCCCTCTTAAGATTTCGATGAGATTAATATCCAGTTGGACAGTTGGCCATGGAAAAACGTCGATCTTTTCCGATAAAAATCAATTCCTAGCGAGCTTTTATGGGTGTTTCAAGTCATTATCTGGTTAAAATATCCTTTTAGCAGGAATTTTTCAACTGTAATATGAATGTAATGTATTCTAAAGTATGCCTACATCCTCAGTTTTGCTCAAAACCATACTATACTCAAACGCCAGGCCAGAAAGTACTAGCTCATATGAGCTGGGCCCCATAAGGCTCAGCCTAGCATGCCCAATGCTAATTTTTTCATGATTTTAGGTGGTAATCGGATTTCTGTGAATGCCACATAATCTTTTGAGTTTATCTTACCATATAATACAACTTTACTATCTTTAGTCAAAAGTATTTTTGTCACTGTGACACAGGCCATTCCACATGCGTTTTTCCAAACTGAAGTCGTGCACCCATGTACTCTTAGACCCAAACGCGGTGCTTTCTGGGACTTCTTGCATTCAAATAATGTGTAATCAACCGTCTAAGAACCGTCACATCACTGACAGAGCGATTTAAAATTTTTTTTCATAATTTTTGAGGATATTAAAGGCCTGGTCTTGCCTTCGACCATCGCCGACCATCCTCTAAAAAATAATTTTTTCGCATACAAAATCGATTTCCAGTCTACTTCTTTTAGTTAATTGGGTTAAATACAATAGTGAGAGTGCCTACAACTTAGTTTTCAATCCCATTATACCTCCTGCCTTAAGTTTTTAGTCTAACTCTTAGGTCTCCTCTTCTGGACCGAGCAATGATTTCTTCAACGCCTCAAAATCAAAAGTACCGCTATGTCCAAAACTTTCTTTCATCAAATTATTCAATAACCAAATTGAGCTTACGGATGGTGACTTATTTAAATTAATTTGCTTTGTTTTTTCATTTTAAAAAATAAATTTAACCCAGCACTACTATTTCATTGAACAGCAGATATCATGGGTAGTTGTCTAAAGTCATAAATAACATGAAGATAGAATGCAAATTTAATGGGGTTTCTTCAAGTTTCTAATGCTTACATTCCAGGCTTTCCGTAAAGGTATCACTTGTTCAAATTGAAAGACTAGAAATATCTCAAAAAGGGTTTCGAAAGTGATGAGGTGCGGCACTACTATTTCATTGAACACAACTGTACGTGAGCGGCAGCGCAGCAGAAGTGCCATTTTCTATCCACAGTAGATAGGGCCTTGCCGACCCCTGATTATATATATATATATATCCCTATGTACTTGTTGAATACCGGGTACCCTTCAAAAGTGTGAAAAAAACTAGTGTACTTACTGGTCCAGTCTGGTTAGGATGATACTTGGGCTGTTCTCGATCATTACGTGTGTTCTTGTTATCCTCTTTGTACTTTCCGTCGTCGTTTGTGCTTATTTTTCCTTTTACATTTTCAGATCTGGGAAATAATTTAGAAAAATGTTAGAAAAAACTAAATACAGTGGAAGTTAGGAAATTAGAGGCCCCACACATTAGAACTGTCCAGAAATTAGAGCCGAGAATTTTATTGCATTGGCGACTCTAAAATTAGAACCTGTGGTTCTAATTTCTGAAAGAATTTTTGTATTGCCCACTCAGTTTAGCCTTTTTGGTTGAAGTAAAAATAAACGAGAAGGAACGTGTGAGTCGCTTCTGGGGACGCGACTCTACCTGTACCCGTACTCAGTCAGTATATACATATTTGAGCTTATGATTTTTTAGAATTTTAGAATTTTAAAAAAAATTTACATTTTACATTTTTTTGCTACATCTGTTATCTACATCTGCTATGTATATTATACATCTAACATATAGATTATAAATGTACCATTTAGATTCTACATCTCCTCCGTTAGGGGCGCTCGCGTACATAACGAGGCAGAGTGTGCGAGCGAGAAAAAGAATGAGTAACGGGTCTCTTGCTGCATAAGGCGGGGGAAGCAACTGAAAATTAATTTCTTCATTCTGGCTATAAATTTGATCCGATCTGATTCAGATTCGGCAATCTGGTAGATATGGGCATTATCTACGATACTGTAGATTCGTCCTTTTTGGGGGTGGAAGGGGGTGGGGGTCGAAATTTTGAAATACACTTGTAGCTGTGTGATATCATATGAGTCTGGAAACCAAATTTGGTTGCCCTAGCTCTTATAGTCTCTGAGATCCAGGCGCTCAACAAGACGAACGGACGGACAGACGGACCTGGCTATATCGGGTTTTATGGGGTCGGAAACGTTTCCTTCTCTGCGTTACAGACATCCACTTTTACCACAAATCTAATATACCCCTTAACTCTTTTTGAGTAAGGGTATAAAAATGGGAAATTTTCGTGGTGTATACAATTCGGTCATATGCATGTGTTATTTGATACGCCTGTAGAAATTCGTATAAGTTGTGACTGAAGGACAAAATAAATATGGGCATATCCGCCGAATGGTACGCGAACGTACCAAAAGTAGTTCGCGACCGACTCCATCATTTTGTACTAAGCATAGAGCCAACAAAATGATATTTAAACGCAAAAAAAAGCTGGTAAAACTTTTGTTTTATATTTTTTTTTTATAGCATTAAAAGGTCGCGTATATGAAAACATGTAAAAATGGTTGTTTCATGTTTTGTTTTATCATTTTCTGTCCAAAAACAAAATTTTCAGAAATAAGAACTTTTTAGAAAGAGAGTTTTAGAACCAAGTGGTTCTAATTTCAGAACATCCACTGTAGCAGCAAAACTAAGAAGATTCTCCCATGCCCATCAAATGAGGGAAAACCCGAAATTGCATCGCTTATCGTCTATTGTATTTGTGATAAAAGTGGATGTGTGCAACGCAGAGAAGGAAACGTTTCCGACCCGATAAGGTACATATATTCTTGATCAGCATCAATAGCCGAAGAGATATAGCTATGTCTGTCTGTCCGTCCGTCTCGATGAGCGCCTAGATCTCAGAGACTATAAGAGCTAGAGCAACCAAATTTTGTTTCCAGCCTCATGTGATATCACATTTTTAATGTTCCTTCAACTAAGAAATTAAAATTTTTTTGTATGGAATGGTGTTTTTTAGCTATGAACTTTCAGTGCCATCTTTTCTTAACAAAATAATCTACTAATAAATAAAATTGTCAAAGAATGCCAACGGTAGCACTAGCACTAGAAAGTTCATGTCTAAAAATAATACCATTCCATACAAATGCCAAAGTTGAAGAAGCATTAAAAATGGTAGAAAACTTCAACTTTGAGTCGCAATATCTTCAGATATATCTATTTTATTACCACGAATCAAAAACCCTCTGAAAGGTACTGAAAGTTTCTTGACAACCTATTACTTTTTGTGGATAACCGCGAAGCAGGTTCTGTGTACAAATTATAAAAATGCAAACAGTCATCGAATGGGGTTCTTGAATTTGTAAAAAAGTTTTTGGGGTATATTGCAAATTCTAAGTTTTGAGGAAGTGATCTACTTACTCATCACGGCCCACAACCTTACTTTTTTCTCGTGCATTCAACAGTGTCTCATTTGTCGCACAGTGTTATTATAGCCAGAATAAAGAAATTAAATTTCAGTCCCCACCTCCCCCGGCGTTGCTGATGCTATTCTTATTCTGCTTAGGGACACCCCTTCATTTTGTTATATTGGTTTTGATAGTAATATTAAAGCATTTATAGTTATTTAAAAAAAATTTTTATAGGTAGCTACCGAATTCTACACAAACATTTTAAGCAAGAAAATTAAACTAAAAAACAAAATTATTTATATATACATACATACATATGTATGTACATATATATATTTCACCAAATTATCCAACTCATTCGGCAAAAAAAAAATATATATATACATTGTATATATGTGTATATATGTACAGTTGCGAAAAAAATAATAGCACCACTACAATACATTTTGTTCTTGATAAAAAAAATGCGCTTACTCTTGCGATTTTTTAAAATTTAAATTGTTTTTATATTGCTTGGTATTCCCCATAAACAAAAACAGTGCTACCGCTCTTTAAATTTCTGTCTATATATTTTTTTTGGGATTTAAAAACCAAAACCCCCCAAAAATAGCGAAAAAAAATTGGCACCATTAGCCATTTTTTTAGTGAATCACCTGTATTTCGCGGAATCGCCTTTCCAGAATGCACCTGCTCATTAGTTTTGACTAAGAACGCATTGCTTCTATCATAAAAGTTAAAAGTAATAATTACAATGGGACGAGAAAAGCACTGCACTGCGGAGAAGCGCGATGTTATCAAAAAATTGATATTGGATGGAAAAACTTACAGAGAAGTTGGTCGATTGGTAGGATGCTCCAATAAAATGATTAAAAACCTCTTAAAATATGAAGAAAAGACTGAAACACGCGGGAGAAACCGATCTATGACCCCTCTCTCTTCATGTCAAAAGACTGATTCGTCAGAGCAAGAAGGATCCCTTCAAGCCTGCTACTGAGCTTAAAAAAGAGCTTAAAATAAATGCGACGGACTAAACAGTTCGCAGATATCTTAGGAAACAACCTTAAAGCCTGCAGCCCAAGAAAGGTACCACTTTTAAATGCGACACATATTACTAAGCGCATGAAGTTTGCCAGGATCATGCAAATTGGACATCCCAAACAGAAATATTTTATGAGTCAGATGAGTCCGAAGTGGTTATTTTTGGTGGAAAGGGATCTCGATCATACGTTACACGTCCAAAGAATACCGAATACAAACCCCGGTACACCACAAAAACTATTAAGCATGGAGGCTGTAGTGTAATGGTATGGGCCTGCTTCTCCTACTATGGAGTAGGTCCAATACATTGGACAAAACCCATCATAGATCAGCACGTGTACGTGAATATCACGGAGACAGTAATGCTACCCTTTGCAGAATATGATATGCCGCTCGTATGGGTCTTCCAACAGGACAATGACCCCAAACACACCAGCAAGAAAGCAAAGGATGGTTCAGGGTAAACTCTGTGAACGTTTTGGAGAGCCTGCTCAGTCGCCTGACTTGAATCCCATCGAAAATCTGTGGTCCGACGTCAAGAAGGCAGTTGCTACTTCCAAGCCAACCACTATCCGATCACTTTGAGAAAAAATTAGAGTCCTGTTCCAAAATTCCCCTAAAACAATGCCAGGACTTAGTTGATTCCATGCCAAGACGCTGCGCAGCTGTTATTGACAATAAAGGACACTGTACTAAATATTAAATTATGCATATAGATTTAGTATTAATACTTTTAAATTCATTTTTTTAAAGTGGTGCTATTTTTTTTTCGCCTAGTTTTATGAATTTTAATAAACTTCCTTAAATAACTTAAAAACGTTACAAAAAATATGATTTTTTTTGTATTCTCAGGTTTGTTAGAGTCTCCCATTTCTAAAAATTTGCTTAAAATTTCCTTAAAGCTAAAAATGTGAGTTTGGCAATTATTTAAAAACTGCTTGTCATGGTGGTGCTATTATTTTTTTCACAGCTGTATACAATTTTAGATGTATAATCTACATTGTAGATGTAGACGTAGATGACAAATGTAGCTAAAAAATGTAAAATACATAAATTATTAGCTCACAAATTTATATTATGACTGAGTACGGGTATAAAATTAGAGTCGCGTCCACAGAAGCTACTCACACGTTCCTTATCGTTTTTTTTTTAAATTTAAGTTTCGTTTTGAGTAAAGTGCCAATTATGTTTGAATTCGTTGAGAAAAATGTTTCCGTTTCCGAAAAAACTTTACTTTTGAACCCAACACAGTAAAGATTAATACTAGCCACTTCGCTCCGTCCGTTTTAAACGAGCGTTTTAAAGGAATGAGAATGATATGATAATCACGATTGAATTGTTCACTAAACCAGATTTGATAGATTTCTTAAAATAATAATACATTTTTTAACTAGCAATATTTATATTCACCTGTCATGGTCACGAACTTTGTTAGATCTATTAAAATCATCACGACGTCTATCATCTATTAAAAAAAAGTGTTAATATGTCAAACTTTGAGTTTTTTTATATACATAAGTTAAAATAATAAGCAAAAACCATTCCTTGAATTAAGTTAACGAAATCTTTTTAGGAATACATAATAAACAAAAAATCATGGGTGGTATTTTGATAACCTCAACAATTTTTTGACAATCTGGCACCAAAATACTTCTTATTACTAAGCCGATAAACTATTTTTTTTAACCTTAATTATACCCGTACTCAAAAAAGAGTTAAGGGGTATATTAGATTTGTGGTAAAAGTGGATTTGTGTAACGCAGAGAAGGAAAATTTTCCGACCCCATAAAGTATATATATTCTTGATCAGCATCAATAGCCGAGTCGATATAGCCATGTCTGTCTGTCCGTCCGTCCGTCTGTCCGTCTGTCCGTCTCGATGAGCGCCTGGATCTCAGAGACTATAAGAGATAGCGAAACCAAATTTGGTTTCCAGACTTATGTGATATTACACTGCTACAAGTGTATTTCAGAATTTCGCCCCGCCCCCTTTCGCCCACACAAAGGACGAAAATCTGTGGCAGGCACAATTTTAAAGATACGATAAAACTAAAAACGCAGTATCGAAGAGAATGCCCATATCTACCAGATTGCCAAATCTGAACTAGATCGGATCATAATTATAGCCAGAATGAAAAAATTAATTTTCTGTTGCTTCCCCTGCCCCCTCCTGCCCACAACAACGCAACTCATTTTCCTTCTCGCTCGCACACTCTGCCGCGTTCAGTGCGCGAGCAACCCCTAGTGGGGGAGATGTAGAATATACATAGTATATGTAGATGTAGATAACAGATGTAGGTAAAATATGTAAAGTGTAAAATTTTTTTTTTTTTTTTAATTCTAAATAATTATATGCTCAAAAATGTATATGCTGACTGAGTACGGGTATAAGTAGAGTCGCGTCCCCAGAAGCGACTCACACGTTCCTTCTCGTTTTTGAATAAAAATCAGACCGAATTTTATGATAACAAAAACACAGGAACTAACAGATCTAAAAAAATGTGCTCAAATAAATACCTTACGAAACAAAAACGAGAAGGAACGTGTGAGTCGCTTCTGGGGACGCGACTCTACTTATACCCGTACTCAGTCAGTATATACATTTTTGAGCTTATGATTTTTAAGAATTTTAGAAAAAAAAAATTTTTTAATTTTACATTTTTTTGCTACATATGATATCTACATCTACATATACAATGTATATTATACATCTAACATGTAGATTTTACATGTTCCAATTAGATTCTACATCTCCTCCGCTAGGGGTTGCTCGCGCACTGAACGCGTCAGAATGTGCGAGCGAGAAGGAAAATGAGATGCGGTGTCGGTGGCGGGAGGGGGAGGGGAAGCAACTGAAAATTAATTTCTTCATTTTGGCTATAATTATGTTCCGATCTGATTCAGATTCGGCAATCTGGTAGATATGGGCATTTTCTACGATACTGCGTTTTTAGTTTTATCGTATCTTTAAAACTGTGCCTGCCACAGATTTTCGTCCTTTGTGTGGGCGGAAGGGGGCGGGGCGAAATTTTGAAATACACTTGTAGCAGTGTGATATCACATGAGTCTGGAAACCAAATTTGGTTTCTCTAGCTCTTATAGTCTCTGAGATCCAGGCGCTCATCAAGACGGACAGACGGACGGACAGACGGACATGGCTATATAGACTCGGCTATTGATGCTGATCAAGAATATATATACTTTATGGGGTCGGAAACGTTTCCTTCTCTGCGTTGCACACATCCACTTTTACCACAAATCTAATATACCCCTTAACTCTTTTTTGAGTACGGGTATAATAACGAGAGGGAACGTTGTGAGTCGATTCTGGGGACGCGACTATACTTTAATATCCGTACTCAGGCAGTATATACAGTATGTCAACTAATTGTTTGCAAAGTGAATAAGACAATTTCAACTTTAGCATTAAAAATATAAATATAGGCATTATTTGGGAAAATTTTGTTTATTAATTATATTATATATGTATATATGTATAAGCTATAGGTATGACAAAAAAAACCTTCGAAATTCCAAGCAAAACGTAAAACAAATGAAGAAAACCCAAAAAACGGCATTTTTGACACTGTCAATAAATTCTTTGCAAAATGCAAGCACTGCTTGAAAGAATACCACAGAAAACCTAACGGGTCAAAAAATTCGAAAACGACCGATCGCAGGCTAAAAATTTCTTTGGTTTAAGTCACGTTTTTTTTATTGATTTTTTTTTTTTTAAATAGCAAAAGAGTTACATGAAACTTATAAAATTAGACTTAGCACAATTAATAATATAATTAACGGTCCGGACAGGGAAAAAAGAATGGAATTAAACCGCTCTGACGGCAGACCACCAAAGCCTTCTCGGCGGGATTGTGCAGAAGTTTTAAAAACAATTGAAATTAATCCACAAATAAGCCTCAGAAAATTGTTGAATGACATTAAAACAAACTGCAAGAAAACCTTGTTCCATGAGACAGTCAGAAAAATACTCAATTGTCACAATTACTTATGCTATTGCTGCCCGCTGTCAACATTGAGAAGAGCTTGAACTTCGCATTTTTTAATTCGCCGGAGTATTGGAACGATGTCATTCTTTGTGACGAGACAAAGATAATGATGTATTATAATGAAGGACCAAGAAAAGTTTTGCGGAAGCCAAGCACAGCACTCCAGGCCAAAAACATTGTGCCAACCGTCAAATTTGGCAAGCTCTCAGTCATGGTGTGGGGCTGTATATTATCTAAAGGCGTTGGGGAGCTGCGCATTTTTAATGAAATAATGACCAAGGAGTTCTACTTGGACATTTAAAAAAAAAGAATTGACCAGAAGTGCGCAAAAGTTTGGCTTCGTCTGTTTAGGAAACAGCAGCAAACTCAAATACAAGCTCTACCAAAACAATGATCCGAAGCACAAATCGCTGCTGAGTCGCACCTGGGTGCTTCATAATTGCAGTAAAGTTATTGAAACACCCGCCCAGAGTCCGGATCTCAATCCTATCAAAAATTTGTGGCATTGCTCAAAGTTCAAAAATTGATTTGATAAAGTGTATAAATGAGCAGTGGGGAAAAATATCTAAATATTACAACATAGAGGCACTTATATCGTCGATGTCGCGTCGCCTCAGGGCAGTTATGGATACTATTGTTATGCATACAAAATATTAGCCAATTATATCTTTTTGTTACAAAGATATATCATTTTTGAGTATTTATTTTTTGCAAAGAATTTGACAGCGTCAAAAATGCCGTTTTTTGGTTTCTTCATTTCTTTTACGTTTTGCTTGGAATTTCTTAGTTCTTTTTTTGTCATACCTATAGGTTATACATATATATAATATAATTAATAAACAGAATTTTCCCAAATACTGCCTGTATTTATTTTTTTAATTTTAAAGTTGAAATTGTCTGACTTATTTCACTTTTCAAACAATTAGTTGACATACTGTAATTATATGATTTATGTAGAATTTTAAAATATTTTACATTTTTGCTACATCTGTCATCTACGTCTACATCTACAATGTCGATTACACATCTAAAATAGCTGATCAAGAATATATACGCTTTATAGGGTCGGAAACGTTTCCTTCTCTGCGTTTGAACATTCTTGGAGTACGGGTATAAAAAGACAGAATAGTAGAAAACTCCAACTTAAAAAATTATATATACTAATTCTACATAAAAAAAAGGCCATATATTTTCGATTTCAATTAATAAAATGAGAGAAAATATTGAAATGCCCAGTCACCAAAACACAGTTTTTGAATTTTCTTTTTTGATTTAGCTGTTTTCAATATATATTATCCCATTTTCGATTCAATTTTATCTAACATAGAAAGTACATCCACATATTTATGTATCCTACTCTTATATTATGTATGTACATATACTTTTTTAGCTAAAATAAAATCAATAAAAAAATTAACAAAGAACCAAACATTCGTGTTCAATTAGACTGTGCATAAGATTACAATAATAAAGTTATGGGCTTGGGAAATTATATCTTCTGTCTAAATTCTTCTCTGAAAATTTTTCATTAACTTAAACATATTTTTGATTGAATGTAAGGTTTGGTTATGTACTTATTTTGACATTAGCTGCGTATTTACCCTGTGAGCACACGTTAGCTTTGTTATCGTCGCTGTTCTCTTGATTTTGGCGCCAATTGACAGATGCATTGATACTCTCATTTTCATTTGTATCTATTTGAACTTCTGCCAGTTTTTCATTTAAATGCTCTTCTTCGTGTCGAATCTTATCTTGCCTCCGAGCGTATGCTAATCGTTCTTCTATCTCTAATTCTCTCGAAGCTGTATCTACTGGCTTAGCTGATCCAAACACATTTAATGATGGTGTTACGCCCTGCTTTGAAACATTTGTTTCATTGATATCAGCATCTTCGAAATCTGAGTTTGTCTTTATATCTGGTAAAGGTAGCGTTCGAGGTTTCAAGTTTAACTTTGGTCTTTCTTCTAGTTTAGAATCATCATCTGTTACATAACGTTCAATATTTTTTCCGCGACCATCTCGAAATTTTTCATTAATTTTATCAAAGTCTCTCCGCGGAGGCGAAGAATCATTGGATTGAGGTCTTACGCTTGTGCGCCAAGATCCAGGTGCGTTGGTTTCTTCCCTTTCAGTTATAGGCTTTCTTTCTCGATTAAAGCTTCTGTCGAAATTCGCTGCATATCCACCAACACTACTGCCATTATTTTGACTATCCCGCCTCCAATTCACAGAGTCTCTATTGTCACTGCTATTACCAAACCCCTCAAACCGACGATTCGTTTTTGGACGGTTTTGCTGGTCATTTTCATTCGACAGCTCTATACGAATGCGACGTCCTTTAATGGATGGGTCTGGCAAGCTAAGAACATGAATTAAATCGTCTCTGCTTTCTAATTCCACATAGCCGAAACCACGGGAGCGTCCGTTTTCACCATCTTCCCGAGGTAGTCTCAACGATATCAAATTTATAGACCCAAAAAATTCATAAAGGTCGTCTTCGTTCGCATCAAAAGGCAAGTTATTGATATAAGCTATGAAAGGAGGCCTGTGCGGAATGGAATTATCATCAAATATCCGATTTGCTCGAGGCGCAGTAGGAAGCTGATAAACTGAAGGTAATGTGCTACTACCGTCATCACTATCATCGCCATCCAAGTTTCTAATTTTTTTCGAAACTTGCGTTGTTCCGGCTGGTGTGTCACCATTAGAAAGAAACGATTGCAGCGAAATGACAGTTCCCTTGTTCTTTTTACCCTTTTTTCCTAAAGAATAAGAGAAAACAATTTATTTGGTTGCAAATACACATGAAAAAGGATGTAATGATAATCCCAAACACACAATTTTATATATTAAAATACCAGACATTATTAAATTATATGTACGAGTAGATATTTGAAATAAAATAGTAAAAATATTTCAATTGTATCTGTGTTCATGTTTGTATTACGTGTCTAATATAAAACCACGCGGAAGCTAGTCATACAACTTTCTACTAGTAAAACATAAAACCAGTAAAAACTAATCTAATAAATATTAAATACTCAACGGATAATAAAATAATGACTAAATTGTATTTCAAACCTGCGGAAGCCATATTGACCGAATATTCCAAACAAACTTAAATTTTGAGTTTTCTACGTATGCATATGAATATGACAATTTCCTTATATCGTTATCGAGCTCATGTACAACCCGATATTAGTTCGATATGTATTGCCGATTAGTCAAGCTGGCGTCAATAGTTGGCATTTATTTTATATATAAAAGAGGGCCCATGGTAGTGGTTTCTCCGCTATTCTTTTCACCTTTTTGTTAAAGCCTTTTCACACTGACGACCATCCACCATTCATTTCTGGGATGGTCCGTAAGGTATTACCGTTCCGAAAATTTCCCAGTTACTCCACCATCCATCTGGCATGTTCCTAATTCGCACGTTTCTGTGAGGTATTTTTTCGAAAATTGTCATATGCAACCATAATAATGACATTCATAACAAATAATTGTAAGTCACTACGAAAATGTAAACAATGACAGACAGGAAAATGGTAAAAAACAACAACAAAAACATTTGATATGTCTGCAAAACTGATGCAGGATATTGCACACGCTGTTGGCCGTCCGACTGTTCTATACTCTGAAAAAGAGCCCAAAGTATACAATGTTATGGCTATAGAAAACTTTCCTTCAAAATCGCCTCGTTGTTTTCGGGTATATCTTTCTCCTAAAATGTCCCAAACCGCTTCTCAACAAACATAGAATATAAATTTGTATTTAAAACATTGATTGGATTTAGTAGAAGCAGTCACAAATGAACACGCTTCAGTGTTTTCAAAACATAGATCTATTCCAATATATTCTCCTGGTCAATGTTAGCCTCATTATTAGCATCATACGTGTCCAGCAACATGATTAGCTTGTGCAAGATTATTTTTTGCTGCTGAATCACATTCACAACCATTGCAATGTTATTTATATTCATTTTAATTATAAATGTTTAATAATTTTCACCGCACGCATTTCTGAGCATCAGCTGTTTCTCATGGATGGTGGAGCTCAGTGTGAATCGGTGTTTCACATCTTTCACAAATTCTCACCGTTCCCCCGGGATAGGCTCTGTGTGCAGAGGGCATAACACATATGAAAACAGTTTAGTTACAATTTTTACGGTCATACCCAGAGCTCTCATGAAAAGTAGTTCAGTACTGTGAGCTGAGAGAGCGATATAATCAAGCCATTGTACAAAATTTATGATGACAAATAGGCGGTTTACATTTGGGCTGCGTCCTGCTTCTTTGCGTCTTGCCGAAGACGCAGTTTTTTATACCCGTACTCAAAAAAAAGTTAAGGAGTATATTGTATATGTGGTAAAAGTGGATGTGTGCAACGCAGAGAAGGAAACGTTTCCGACCCCATAAAGTTTACATAATCTTGATCAGCATCAATAGCCGAGTCGATATAGCCATGTCCGTCTGTCCGTCCGTCCGTCTTGTTGAGCATCTGGATCTCAGAGACTATAAGAGCTAGAGCAACCAAATTTGGTTTCCAGACTCAAGTGATATCACACTGCTACAAGTGTATTTCAAAATTTCGTCCCGCCCCCTTCCGCCACCACAAAGGACGAATCTACAGTATCGTAGAGAAAGCCCATATCTACAAGATTGCCGAATCTGAATCAGATCGGATCATAATTATAGACAGAATGAAGAAGAATGAAGAATGTTGTTACCCAGAAGCACTAACCATACAGTATATAGATGTGCCAGTTCATACAACGAAATGGGCGCAGCTGAGGTTGCTGTCCCAGCACCCCCCAGGTCTTCGGCTAGGGTGCTGGGACCATTCGGCTGTGGTGCTGAGACGTTCGGGTCGTGGGTCTGAGACGTTCGGCATTTTTTCGACATGTTCGATTCATGACGAGATGCGAAAGCAAGCTGAGAATTGCAAATGTATGTGTGTAAACAGACACGACAAAATTTTGTATCAATTCTTATTTTCCGAAACCGTTTTAAGTTTGTTTTGAGTTTCGTTTCCAGGTTACGTAAATGTGTGTGTGCCATGTATTCACACATACTGTGCTTGTGTGTGGGCTCTACAATTGTTGGCCGCTTGAATTGGTTTTTCATTTTGTTTTGAGGGCTGATGTGGTGCCCGCGGAGAGCACCCGGGCGCGGGGGAGTGTTCAATTTCTGTTATTTCTAGGAGGGCCCTAGGCAACTGCTAATCCGGCCCTGGACCTATTCCCGTCGTAAGACTTCATATTTTCTTGGTGTGTTCTGTCGCTCGACTCGACTCGACGCGGGTCGAGGCATTGACGAAGCCGAAAGCAGAGGCAAAGGCTAGCCTAAAAGAGAATGGAAGAAATAACCTACGCGCTCGACGCAACATCAGCTTTTCAAAACAAAACGAAAAAATATTTTATGAACGGCTTCGTCAATGCCTCGACCCGACCCGCGTCGAGTCGAGCGACAGAACACACCAAGAAAATATGAAGTCTTACGACGGGAATAGGTCCAGGGCCGGACTAGCAGTTGCCTAGGGCCCCCTAGGGATAACAGAAAAATTTTGTTGAAAAAACAAAACTCCAAATAATGAATAAAAAATATAATAGCCACTGAGAAAAATACAAAATAAAGGAGGGCCCCAGATTGATGGTTGCTTAGGGCCCGGTTGAGGGTTGATCCGGCCCTGAATAGGTCGCTACATCACATCAGCCCTCAAAACAAAATGAAAAACCAATTCAAGCGGCCAACAATGGCCCGGGGGGCGCCCGGCCCGCGCCCGGGGGGCGGGGGGGCGGGGGGCCGGGGGGCCGGGGGGGGCGGCGGGGCCGCGGCCATGCGCCCCTGGGGGACAACTAATGGTCATACGACATTTTGTGACCCCCTGATGCCATTAAGACACTGCTGGAGACGAACTTCGATGGTTTTTATAATTTGAAGAAGAACTCCCACAAACTCTACAAAGAAATGTCTAAAAATAATAAATAAATATGAGAATTAAATTTTTTTCGTCCATTCTCTTGTCGTCTTGCATAATTCTGTTGATTTTCCAAAATTTGTTTTTCTTTCCTTATCATACAGCACAAAAATAAAAATTCAAGACGCACGTCTGCCAATGTAAACGCCTTTTCTGCTTCATTGCGTCTATTCCGATATCTATAGCCGACACGCCTAGTATTAAAAGGCTATTAAATGTAGCTAAAATATCTTGAGGTTCCGAAATAGACGTTATAAGTAGACAAATCAATACAAATTTATTTTATGAGTTTGTTGCATTTCAGGCGTATCGATAAAATAATTTGCATGGTAGCGAGGAAGAGGAAACATTTCCAGACAGGGTGGCAAGGCCGAGGTTGAAGGGGTAGTGTTGAGCGGATAGTGGCGCCCCCTAGTCGGGCGATCTTAAAACTATAAGAGATCCGATTGCTCCTGAATTTCCTGTGTAGAGAGGAAAGCCTCGCCTCTCACATACCAGTGTCCCGGAGCCAACTCACCTTTACACCCTTAAGGGGAGAGAGCGGCTACCAGGAAGGCTAGGCCATGCCCTTGAACCTGGTTCAAGGGCTATAGAAGAAATCGATGGGGCTTGGCGGCCAACGATATAGGAATGGGAAGATTAGGCAGTAAGGGACAGATCAAAAAAATCGTTGGCGGAAGGCAGAACAAGAAAAGGTTACGGATCGGGTCCTCAAAAAAAAAAAAAAATACCAAGTGAGTGAAATGAGGATGGGTTAGTGGCCATCACTCAAAGTGATTTTTTTTTGTTTTGCGTTTTCCTCGAATAGCAAGGAGTAATTAGTGCTGCCTAGTGGGACGGATCGGAGACAGATGAGCAAAGCCGCAAAAAAAAAAACAGGAACAAAGTGAGTCCGCTCCAATGGGGGAGAAAAAATCCCAATTCACACTTAGTTTTTTTTGTAAATTCACAAAGAACTGTGCCCAGTTCCGCCGTCCTGTCCACAGCGGCATGGTCCTTCGCCCGGCCTGGAAGTGGACCCCAAAATATCGTCCCCGTCTTCCAACAAGATTTGAATAAAATCCGAATACATTTAGACATATACTTTAAAATCGACTAGGCCGTCACATATCTATTTATATATTTATTTATTTATTTACCCTTAATTATATATATTTATTTATTTATTTGTAATTATATGTAATTGTCCCTATTTATAGTTATTTATTTATTTACTCATATTTAATATAATACGCACATACCCATAATTTAGGTCGGTGGAAGGAAGAGCTTAGGATGGGGGGTTAGGAGGTCGACCTGAAACAAGATAGGAGTTATTCGAATATCGAAAAAATGTGTGTAAAATTGGATTTAAGGTGAAAATATAAGAAAAGATGAAGTGCTAAATGTTTAAAATGGGGGGAAGGCGAACCAAGACTACGAGAGGATGAAGAAGATGCTGCACATGGCAGGGAGACCCGAGATAGTCTGATCCGGATCTCTGATAGGGTGGGTACGTCGGATGTATAAGACCAACACCTCAACCTTTTCCACATAGTAGGTAGGAGGTCATTTGTCGAGTAGCGTCTGTATGGTTTATTTTTTATGTGTCGTTACGTTAGTTTTCGTTTTTGTTGTAGCTGCTTGAAATGTTGTCCGAGATGATCGATTTGTTCGGTTTGTTGTGCTAACTGAGGGCTTGGGAAGTATCAAGCCCTGGGATGACTGGCTAGCCGGCCTTGCCCCACCACCAAGATGTTCGTAACAAGTTTTAGTAAGTATTTTAGTAGCTTAATATTTATATATAATATGTTTAATAAGGAAAGGTATATAGCAATGCTCCGTTTTCGTAAATTTTATGTTTTTACGATATTGGATAATTCGTGGGCTCCGGAATTCTGAACTATTTGCTGTCGATGGTATTACACTCTCAACTTTGTTTGCGATATTTATCTGAGAGCCTAGTTGCATAGGCGACCATCCATTTCGGGGATGGTCCGTATGGTTTTGCAGTTCAGAAAATTTCCCAGTTATTCCACCATCCATCTGTGATGTTCCTAACTGGCACGTTTCTATGCGATAATGGTTCGATAATTTTCAAATTCAACGAAAAAGGGCAGTTCACTACGAAAATGTAAACAATGACAGACAGAATATCGGGAAAACCCTGTCAGAGTTATGTCAGGGACAAAAATAGAAAATTATGCAGGATGTTGCACCAGCTGTAAGTTGATAG